ACGGCTAGTTGTTAAGGCAAAGTTACTCAGGGTCATGACCTTGACAACATATGTCAAGGTCAAGAAGATCGGAGCTGTTTCCCCTATTCCGAAGATTTACCAAAATTTTTTCCTACACTTTAAGAGTCAGTAAATAATTGTCAAAAAACTCAAGTTGTTCATTTACTTCCTTCTATGAAAAAAAAATCAAGAAAATCACCGTGTTTTTGGACCTCTATAGATGAGAACCTCCCCTTAAGGTCAAGAAGATCGGAGCTGCTTCCGTTATTCCGAAGATTTACCGCAAAAATAGGTCGCATTTAATCCTAATCTTATTGCGGATAAAAATTCATCTTTAGGCATGTTAACAGCTTTCTTTCTTTAAAAAATTCCATACAGTTGCTATACTTTAACGGCCTATCGAATAAGAATACGAATATATGTGAATAAAGAAACAATGTCAAGACAATTTACTGATAAAATATTACATTAATAATTTTGTACCGTATTCGCATTAATAGGTATTTTTGCCGTATATAGATATACCTACGTTTATAGCTTCAATATTCAGAGTAATAATCTGTTTATCATAAACGTGTGTGACATTGTAAAACATTGTGAAAGTCCTTGAATGACAAATTGACTTGGCGTGTATGTGTTATCTACGGACACGACTTTCTTAAACATTGTTGTTATAACAGCAACGTGACACAACGCTATTTTCGCAAACGATGTCACACAATAATTTTATTTAATTAGCAATTTATAGTAAAAAGGACGAAATGTTCTCCTATATTCTCAATGATTAGTGTTGCAGAATGCGTTTTAAGCAGTGAACTTTTTATTTATTATAAGAAGTACAAAGTGAAATAGTACGTTGTAATAACTTCTTCTTCTAAATTTAAATGGCCCAGGTTCCGGAGTGACCGGATAAACGTGGCCAGTCGTTTCCAAGACACCACCAACTCTCCACAGGTAATCTACAAAAAAGGAGGAGGATAAGTTCCTGAGAGACGAAAGAGATACCTGAAACTTACGCAGAGACGCGAAAAAATTCCTCACGACGCGCGCGGCCCCCAGCGGATCCCCACGACACTTAACCGCAGAGGGCCGCGGGGGGGAGGATATACCAAGGGAGGTGGGGGAAGGGAAGGGAAAGAGACGCTCCCCGTCCCCCACCCCAGCGCGCGAGGCTTAAATAGGAACGTCGAACGATTTTGGGAAGGCGAGTAAGAGTCTGCATAGTTTGTGGCTAGGATTAGCAAGCAGAGTGAATATATTATATGAGTGGGAAGGGAAAGCTTTATTTAGGTAAAGGACTAGCGGCCGAGCTCTGCGTCTTGTAAGAGGACAGAAAAAAATTGAATGATTAAGATCCTGTCTAGGGTCACCACATTCACAAGCCGGAGACAGCACCATATTTTTCCTGAATAAGCTATAATTGAGATTGTAATGGTTTGACCTTAGTCTATTAACCAATACTATTTCGTTCCTGTTGAGCTTCTTTTTGAAGTACCAGGGTATAGCGGTCGTAGATGAAAAATACAACGAGTGGTAATGAGCTCCGGTGTGATTAGCCTTGTCATTTAAATAATCTGTGAAACGAGCGCGGGCCTTCGCTACTGCCTGAATTTGGAGATCTGAGTAGGGAGTACGGAAAAAACCCCTGGCTCCATCAACGCATGCCTCTTTGGCTGCCCTATCAGCCAGCTCGTTGCCTAAGATGCCCTTATGCGAGGGGATCCAGAAGAGGAAGCAGTCGATATTGCTATGCTCCAGTTGGAGCAAAACTTGCTTTATTTTGTGAATAATATAATTACCATTGATCAATCTGTGAGACGAGATGGCTTGTAATACACTGCGGGAATCTGAAAAAATGTAAATTTTAGAATAGCCCGCAACTAGTGCCAAAATCAGGGCTTGATGTATTGCCCAAGCTTCCGCCGTAAATACTGAAGCGCTGCAAGTTAGTTTGTATTTGAAGCAATGTCCAAGTTCCGGCGAGAAAAAGGCCGCACCCGCGCATCCATCCTCCGACAGCTTTGATCCATCTGTGTAAACGGTGAGACCGGATGAGTCTAGTTCCTGAAGTCTGTTGCTAAAAGACTGAATAATTTCATTATCGTTGGTTTCTTTAGTGCAGGAGATAAAAGATTCAAAATGTTTACGAAAAATGAAAGCATTCAAACTACTCTCGAATGCAGGAATAAAGTATGAACTTTTCAGGTGTGAAATGTCATGTTTGTTGGTAATATAACATCTCAGCGAAGGAGATTTAGCCAGGGCCTGAGCCTTCTGCGCAGGAGTGCTAAGACTATATTCCAAAGATTCGATACTGTTTATAACCGGATGATTTCTTTTAGACATGCATTTGATAACGAATCTCTCGCTGAGAAGATTAAATCTTAATCTCAAGGGATATTCCCTCGCCTCGCACAGCATGACATTAATAGGACTAGACAAGCGGTATCCCATGGACGTCCTTATGGCTTTGTATTGTAACCTCTCGAGTTGACGGAAAATTCTTGCATTATTTTTCCATGTGAAGATTGAACAGGCGTATTCTACAGCTCCTCTAAAAACGGATCAGTATATAGCAAGTAAGCAGTGGGGATAGGAGCCCCACCAAACAGCCGTGAGAGTTGAAATGATGTTGACTAGAGCCTTTCCATTCTTCACAAGATATTTCAAATGTAGATTACCCTTCAATTTGCGATCCAATATAACTCCTAGGAATTTGACCTTTTCCACTCTGGGAATAGGAAGATTGTCTATAGAAAGAGAGCAATCTGGCGCGGGCACCGCCTTAGAGGTCGCAAAAACCATCCAGCTTGACTTGGAAGGGGAGAGAGATAAGCCTTTGGTCCCAACATAGTTCGAAACATTATTTAAAGTTGTCTGGATCCTATCAACTGCCTTTACAGGGTTACAATGAGAGGTAAATATCACGATATCATCTGTGTACTGTAGAAATTGTACGTTTCTGGACATGCAGGATCCAATATTGCAGAGGGCGATATTGAAAAGCAAGGGGCTCAGCACTGAGCTCTGCGGGGTACCTTTATGCGACAGCCGTTTTTCGCCCAGATTTCTTTGTTCCAAGAACTGCACCGATCTCTCAACGATGAGATTTTCTATAAATTTTCTGATGGTGGCTGGCACGCCAGCGTTTTTCAATTCATCAAGCACAGCAGAGGGCAGAATATTGTCGAATGCGCCAGCAATATCCAGAAAGACTGCAACAAAAAATTCGCCATTTGACATAGCCAAGAGAATCTGATTCGTAAACGTAACCAGGCTATCACTGCATGATCTGCTGGGACGAAAGCCCATTTGCTCGTTGGGGAGAAGTGATTGTGATTCAATAAGCCACACCAATCTCCAGTATATAATTCTTTCTAGTAACTTAAGTATACACGATAAAAGAGAGATAGGCCTCATTCCAGAGTTTCCAGCTTTGGGTATGAAGATTACTAAAGAAGTTCTCCATTCAGTGGGGATGATTCCCTCTTGAAGGAAACTGTTGAAAAGGTCGACTAATAGCTCTCTATATTCAGATGGAAGATAGTCAAGCATGTTGTTACTGATTCTGTCCAGTCCTGGGGCGGAATTGTTATTGGCTAGGGAGATTGCCATGTCAAGATGTTCCGTGGTGATCGGGGTGTCGAGCTCCTTGAATATCTTTCCCGTCTGTTCATCCTTCTTTCTCATATCATCGAGGCTCGTTGTGATGTTGTGTAAACATGAAGGTGGACATAGTTTTTGAATTGCCTCACTGGTCAACTGCCTCTCCTTGAAGTAATCCATATTTTCGTGTGATAGTGATAAATTGCGACGTTTAAATGCCTTAACTAACGACCAGAGTTTGGTGGAAGGAGTTTTTGCATTGAAAGTGCCCACAAATTCTCTCCAACTTTTCCTTTTTTCTTTATAAAGAGTTTTTGCGCACTTGGATCTTGTTTTTTTAAAAGTAAGGAAATTTAAAATTGTTGGGTGACTTCGCCACTCTCTAGCGGCCGCTCGGCGGGCTTCTATGGCCTCTTGGCATTTGTTCGTCCACCACGGAGGAGCGGCTCTATCACTTCTGATAAGGATTGATCTCGGATTATCTTTCTTGGTGGCAGAGGAACAAGAGATAGCTGTGTCGACAATATGTTTAGTCAAACTCGAGTATGCCTCACAAGGATTCTGAGAAAGATTATTAGCAAAAGACGCATATGATTTATCCATACTGCTACCAAAATTGAAAAGTTCGCAAGGATTGAGTTTGATCTTGTAGATATATCGTCGACGGATAGTTGGATTAATGCCCAAAGTAACGGAAATAGGAAAGTGGTCACTGCCCCATGTATCATCTTCGGTATACACATTACATAAAGGAGCGATGTTCGGTGTGGCGATGATCAAATCAATGACTGAACGTCCTGAGTTGGGAGGAAGGAGAAATGTAGGCTTATGGTCTCCCAGGATGCAGACACGTGAATCTTCACAAACCTCGAGAATGCGCTTGCCAATGCGATCCGAGGAGTGGCATCCCCAATGATTATGATGAACATTTAAGTCGCCCATGATAATGCAATTGCCCTTAGCGACGCTGAAACTTATCAGATCTTCAAAGAATTGCATCGGAGTGTCACAGTTAGGATGGCGATAAATGTTTATAATGTTAAATTTTTCATTTTTGGCAAGTACCTCTATGCCTCGCAATTCCACCGAGCCTTCACTAAAGGCTGATATATCTAAGATGTTATAAACTATGTTTTGTCTTATAAGGATGCAGGTACCTTTTTGTCTGGGTGCCGTGATGTCATTGCGTATAACGTTATATAGCCTTTAAGAGAGAACTTAGAGGCCGAATGTAGAAGCGATTTCTGGAGGCAAATGATGTCGTAATTTGCACTGGCAGCATGTATCTGAGGTATTCTACTCCTTATTCCTCTGCAATTCCATTGAAGCAAGGTAATGGATCCATCGAAGGAGTTATTGTTACCGGTGAATTTAAAAGGAAGATCTCGAAGTTCCAGCGATGTCAGAAGTCATGTTAAATCCCATAGAGTTAAAAAGGTTGATGATAAAATCCAGATTTAGACCAGCAACTAAGTTGGCAATTCTTGATATTGTCTCTGCAAAAGGGTCAATTATAGAGGCAATATATTGGCTGTTATTAAACAGACTCTTGATTTTATCTAGGAAGGCCAGAATCATTTCAAAAATGCTGCCCACGGATTCGGATCCGAGGTTCGAGCATATATCACCGCTGTTAGCCGATGGGGGGTGACCATGTCCATGAGTAGAGATGCGACGACCATACTTGTTATGAAAACGAGAGGGCAAAGGGGACACGTTATTTTTGTCCTGTGGTGAATGAACATTAGCAAACGACTCACCGGATGCGCTCGGACGTAGATGTGGACTGTGTTGGGAGCTCACTGATTTATTTTTTGATGGCCTGCCTCGTGTGTCGCGTGCATCATGAGTGAATGTAGTTGAGGCGTCTGCATAACTCAACGGCCATAGATGATGACGGGTAGCTCGAAGTTTCCAAAGGTGAGAACATATTGTGCGAGGTAAAATCTCCATGATTCTGCTGAAGATCAGAGAAGTGTTGTCGCCTACTAGAAAGATAGGGATAATTGCGAAAGTTTACTGCAAGGTTAGAAACATTTCCACCATTATTATTCTTAATTATCCTTTTAGCTTCAACATGAGGAATGTTTTTTTGTGCAGCAAGGTTAATCACTTCTTTATGTCTTATTATCATAAGGCACACAAAAGAGGTAGCCCAATGATCACCACCGCAGTTAATGCATTTCTTGGCTTTGTGCTTATCCTCGCATTCTACAAGCTTGTCATGGTCCCCTTCACAGTAAAGACATCTAGGCTTGGAGCTCTTACAGTCATTGCCGATATGACCTACCCTGTAGCAAACATAACAGATACGAGCCTTAGGTATTTACGGATCTACTGAATATAAGGCATTAAATAAGGATATCTCATTAGGCAGATGTTGGCCCGCAAATTTGACTCAACTAGTTCTTGAAGGTAAATAGCTAATTTGGCCTTCTGTCGTGACACGGCGATTAAGGCGTTGGATGTCAAGGATCTTAGCCGAAGACTTAATGTTGTCCTTGATACACTCGATAGTAAGTGACTGATCCACGTCTCTTACGATACCAGTTCTGAGTACCTTGAATGCGGGAATGAAAACGCGTATATTATATTTAGCAAAAGCACTGTTTATAACCAAACGATTCGCCGCAAGCGCTGATCTAACCTCAACGATAGCTTTGCCGCTGCCTAGACGTTTTATACTCAGAATGTCTGTGCGTGCAATTTCCGAGACAATTTTTGCTAACACTGAAAAATGAATGACTGAGGACTTATCTGAGTAAACATAGACAGCGAAAGGACCCGTGTCCGTCTCAGAGTATAGATGAGACGTTTTATGTGGAGCAACTTGTTTGGGCTGTGGCGAATTTACTGCATTTGCAGTGGTTTGCTCGGCCGAAGAAACAGAAGGAGGCTGATTAGTTTGGTTGTCCGAAAGATTTTCTACAACTTTTACCTTTGCATTGGTGTTATTCTCTCTCTTTCGGGTACGTTTCCTCGAAACCTGAGTAAAATCAACGTCCATACCGTCGTCCGGACTCATAAAATCATCCAAAGGAGCCGTAGCGCCAGACGAGAGTGTCAAGGGAGCCTCATTGAGCAAGCTGTTAACAGCCGCATTCACCAAAACATTGTCCAGATCGTTGCTTGATTCGATAGAATAAGCAGAGCCGCAAGGGGAAAGGAGGGAATAAGGGGGAGCCATAGGAGAGGGAGGAATCGACAAAGGCAAAGGCAAAGGGTGGCACCGATGCCATCGTCAACGAGAACGGTTCGCCCACCCTGACCATGCTGGACAAAGCGGGTGTCCCACCCTCCCCATGCACCGGCGGCGGGACGCCGGCCATGGGCGCGCGAGAATCCTCGCGCGCGGTTAAGCACAAGTCTGCTTAGGAAATACACGCGCGATTACGCTTCACCAACACGATACGCACTACTGCCGGAGCGAAAGCCGACGATACGGACCGAAAAGGGGCACATGCAACACTAAAACCCGTTGAAAACGGTAAATAAAACGGACGCACACTAACGGACAAACTATTGCCAAAATGGCGCGACGCGCAATATACGTTGTAATAACGAATGAATGCGAGAATAGAATAGTCATGGAATACAAGTTTACTCTTATGAAAACTAGATAGTAGAAAGGGACGATGGAAGCGCCACGATCCGAGCGCCTCTTGATTGAGTTGTCGTTCATCTTAGCGTAAGGTCATGAGCGCCAGAATTGAATAGTGTCCCTAGAAGATAGAGTCTGGCCACTACCCCTCAAAATGGCGTCAGTAAGGGGTGGGGATTGATCACAACTGATCACAGTTTTCTCGAAATACATACATATCGTGATATCGCGGACATACGTATACATA